GGATCATGTCTCAGCTCATGCGCCCGTAACAGTCTCTCTGTCTCTCTCTTTGTGTGTGTGTCTCTCTCTCTCGCTCTTTCTCTCTCTCTTTCTTTTTTTTTTCCCTTTCAAGGAAACCAACAGATGCGGCTCGGTTGACTTTGCATTCCCTTCAACCCAACGACTCTGGCTACCCATTCAGTGTGTTGAGGTACGGTGAAGCAGCGGAGGCATCAACGCCGTAAGACTTTCAGTGCAAGCCTAACCAGGTACAGATCGCAATGTATCGCAAAACAATGAAGTGAAGCAGCTCCATTATGCTGGTGATGACATTGAGTTTCCAATTACACACGAGCTGAACATCGCCTTGGACATCTATCTGCCTGTATGCACGCTTCTTGTCGCGCTTTTGCACGTTTATTAGCTGTAGCCATTGAGAGGCGTTGTCCTACACGGTCGTCAATTCTTGTATATTCATTCATAACTTTGCCTCCCTTTGATCTTGCTTGTCCACCCCCCCTCCCTCCCTTCCTCCTTCCACCGAGAAAACTCCAGGTCTAATACCTTTCACACACACAAAAAGAAAAGAAAAGAAAAGAAAATTCATATTTAGTACTTTTGACTGGACGCTGTGCAACTACTCTAACAATGTGGAATCGCACAAGCTCCTGCGCTTATCCAAACTAACCGGACAGGAATGGACCCGTAGAAAGTGCCCATATCTGGCCGCGCTTCACTTATCCTTTAGCTTCCGTGTCACGCTTAAATATCTCCAGGTTCTCACGGTATACGTGTCGGATAACACTGCCTCTGTTGATTGAAACACGCAAGCTTTTTGCCACCAGAGTGGCAAATGGCAACAGTATTCCGAAAGTATTAAATATCTTGAGTTTCTAGGGTTTAGGAGGAAGAACAAGAACAACAATTTTTGAAAAAAGAAGCTTAGTTAACAATGGGTCTCATAACGTGACAATACGAGCCTCTCCCATCCAATACAACAAAGATGGAGCATGTTGTTGTTTGGTTCGGTAGTTTGCTGCTAAGTTCTATTCTAATATGGCTTCTATTTTGCAGCTAAAATTTGTCAGCTACGACCTGAATCGGGATTCTGACAATTAGGAAGACTAATATCTTTCTTGGCTATGCTGTACGCTAATGCGCCCACTCTTTGATCGCCATAGATTTGCATTAAAGAATTTGTCACTTAAGGGTATCTTTTGTACTGTCATAGGTCGAGATTTGTGTTGGGCCTATTGATATGATGTAGCTCGGAGGCTGGGCGTGTGTCCAGGGCAACCCTCTTACTGTACGGCGCGGATCATGCTCAAATTGACACATGACATCCAAGATAAGGCTGTTCTCCTCTCATGGCTACGCCGCCTGGTCCGTTGTCGTTCGTGACAATGGTAGTGAAGCACTTGAGTTGAGGATGAGTAGGAAGAGGTGCGAATATGGACCTCTCGCACCTCATGGTGTTGAAGGTGCAGTTGTTATAGATTGCGGAAGGCTTTCGATCGACGAATTCTGAGATGCACCTCCATGGAAGGTTTTCGGTATCCCGTCTCCAGAGAAAGGTCCTTCAGTGAAGGCAGCGAAATAACGGTTTCATCAGCAGGCCAGGCTGTGAGAAAGGCGCCGCTCTGCGCAGCCTTCTCTGCGTCAAGAGAAGTGTAGACGCTGAGCGTGGTTGTAGGGGACATTTTGGCTAGAAGTGCGTTTCAGTAACCGTGTATGATGTGTATGGTGTGCATGGTTCTAGAGTTCCAGCCAAGTTGTGAAAACGTGTATTAATACCCAACATGCCGTCTTTGATTTGACAGCGCAGAGGGATTGGTTTTGGAAAGATTCGAGGGTGCAATGGTTGCACGTGGCTCGTTGTTTGACACCGGATATCCATCCGCCTCAATTCACACCGACTTACTGCGAGTAATACGTGTACGGTCCGTGAGTGGTGTAAGAGCTTTTCCCACCGGCCTTGTAGCGGCTGTCATTCTCACGTAGGGCTGGTCGGGGTGGCGTTTGAATCCATGTAACACTCTCTTATGCCGAGTACCACACTTCACGGACTGTTGCGCCTCCCTTGCTAATCTGAACTCAAGCGGCTGGGCCGATGGTATGGAGATCTAGCGTATGCAACGATCTGTCAGCCACGCAATACCTTATGGGGGTCGTAGAGCTGTGGATTCCCAACTTCCGTTGTGTCCTTCATGTCGCCCAACCCGGATGCGCCGCAGCCTCTTATGAATAAAACTTAATTATGGTGGACATTCAAAACTACATGGGTTGAACCACCCCGCTCGATTATTCGATCTCCGGACGTCCCTCAACCGCGGAGGGTGGGGGCGAAGTTGGAGGCGAGGGGGACCCACTGGCAGTTGGCTTAATCGCGCCGGGGCGACACTCGTGATTTCCCGCCGAGGCGCCCAGTAATGTTTGGCAGTCAGGGACGTGGCAGGATCCCTGCACACTTGCTTCTCAAGATTTATCTGGGCAGGGTGGTCTCTTACGTGACGCTTCGGGCTCCACGCTGTTGCTTGCTACGTAGACATCCTCGTTTAATGATGGGTCGCCCGTCTTGGGCAGCCATGGTTGCCTACTTAACATGCAGTGAGGACTGAAACCCTGTTGGGTACGGCAGAAGTCGACGTATCTTTATGCGAATCTCGGGAGGCAAGTTCAAAATGCTAACGCTCTTTGACGACAATAACGATGCGGGGGTTTTCTGAGAACCAACACCTAACCCTTCAACTACTGCGCGTGTTGGAGCTCTAGTGTTTGCCGCCGTATGACTGACCCTTTGTTCAGAGTCCATGGGGCAGATTAATGGACCAGACACTCTGAAAAGAGCCTTTGAAAGGCAAGACTACCGGCCGGCGATGCTGTACAGAGGGTTCGGCGAGCAAAGAAGAATCGAAGCAAAGATGATCCCCAAGAAGTTACGAACATAACGCACTACGTTTGATCCAAAATTGTTCGGGTCACAAATGGCAGTCGGGGTTATAAGCAGTCTCATCCTCCAGAGGGCACGTGTGCAAACCGTACTCTATTCCGTCGTTCTTCCGAACCACTGCTGGCGCGCTTCTGTATGCTCAATATCCGCAGTAGCCCAGGGGTTACGGTTATTGGGAAGCCCCGTGTCGAGCATACCACACCCCCTGAAGCCGTGCATGGGAAGGAGACTAGGAAGTAACTGCAGCAAACGATAAAGAGGAAATTTGAATGGAACGTGAACATTAGCCGAACAAAATAAACCGGAGGCGTCCTGAAAAAAGAACGGAACGTTAGTTAGACCGGAGTCCTCAAAAAAGGGTGGGCGGGTGCCTTGGCTAAACAAAATAAACCGGAGTCATTCTAAAATAAGAATGGAAGGAACATGAAGAGTACATACTGTACAAAAAAGAATGGAACATAAGTAGCCATACAAAAATATTTACCATGGAGTCGTGCTCAAAAAAGAGAATGTGAACTTTGAAACACTATGGCGTCAATCTTAAAAAAAGACCGGGGCTAGCAAGTCACGATATTCCAACAAATACTGTGGGACCTTGACGAAGCGATCTGCGTTGTGAAGCGGTGGAGTGATCAATGCATACTTACTGTAAGTCAAATAGACGACAAGCGAATTGTGCTGCGGGGTACGTTGCCGAATTGCCTTGAAGTCAAGCATATTATTTTGTGGGATGCGCATTGGTTTGTTACAGGTTGTGCATGTCCTCAAAGGGAAGTTATTGCGAGTGGCGCAGTCCAAAGCGCACACTGGTCAGAATTGCGCAAGTATTTGCTGCATAGGACTGTGCAGTACATATGTATGTACAGTACAACAAACTAGGCAGTTGGCAAAACCATAATTTTGCGGTCCGTGGAACTGAATTTGATCCCAAGTTATAACAAAGGTCTGCGATGATGGAGCCGCCTGGTGACTGACGCAGCCCACAACAAACCGCGGTTGGACACGCAAAAAGTATTTTGTGGTCCTCTCGTCACCTAACCACGATGGCATGTAATCAGCTTGGAACCGACATAACAGGCCGGCCACGACCTGGAAGGTCAATCGACGCTCCTTATGCGTTTACCCTACACACACGGCGTTCGTCCAAAAACCACATCTCACACCTTCCCCTGTATTGTTACTTTCTTGGCATGGAATTGTTAAGAAAGTAGACTAAATTACACCAATTTGCCTAACACTACTCGAAAACTTCGTTTTTCTGCGCGTTGCGCAGCCTCGGCGGCGGCGATGGCAACGGCCACCCCC